TTCTCATTTCCTCTATGCATGCTACATGACCTGCTGATTTTATTCTGTAAAAATTAATTTTTGCTATTATTATGAATATTGTTTTTCTTGCTTCATACATTGAAAATGATTTATATGCTTTGTAGCAGGAAACAGTAGCAGCAGTCGATGGCAGTTCTCCAGTCCTCAAGCAGCACAGCAAGCAGCTCATCTCTTAGGAACCACAGTTGAAGAACTGGCTCGTATATTGTTCGGGCAAAGTTCAGGTGGAATGGGCACACCCTCTACCCCTCGTGCTCCCTTCCGCACTCCTTCACCTACTGAAAGAGGACTTGACAGGGATGTCACAGGACTGGAGGCTCTGGAAGGAATGGTTGTTGGTCTTTATGGAGAAGTTTTAAATGCTGTGGCAGCACTGGTTAATAGGTGAGATTCCTCCAGAACTCAGATGTTGAAAGGGGTGTAAAATGCCATGTCATAATTTTTATAACATGCTTACATCATCTATGTATGTATATGAAATGTGTTGTTCATTATCTTAGTAATGATGGATTTCTCAACTTCAGCAGCTCTACATGCATTGTCAAATCAGAAACATGATTGTGATTGTTACCTTGTCCTATTGTCCCAAACATTTGCCTGGCAGGACAGAGTAGCAAGTGAACTTCAGTCAGGGCAGCTGAAGTACAGACCAGGAATTTAACCCAGGACCATTTCAGTACAAAACAGGAATGATATCCAATCTATATGATGTTCAGTGACAATGTATAGGTTCAGTTAGTTCAGTGTTTGTATGTAGCTCTATGTTTTATATCAGTATCCTTTCCAGACCTAATAATCAAGAATGTGTAAATAGATGTATAATTTAATGTGTGGAATAATTGAAGAGTGTGATAAATCTGTGGTTTCCTGGTTCTGTTCAAGGTCTATCTCCACACCGATCCATACTGTGTCATCACTTGTGGTAGTGGACTCCCCAGGTTTCCAGAACCCTGCATCCTGTGGCCAGCAGGGCGGTGCAACTTTTGAAGATCTATGCCACAACTACCTACAAGAACGCCTGCAACTGCTTTTCCATCACACAACTCTTGTTGCTCCAAGGGACAGATATGCACAGGTCTGTGTGGAAGATGAGATCA